GGAAGGGAAGGAAGGAGGGGATGGTGGAAGGAGGAAAGAGAAAGAAAACTATTATATTCCCAGACTCAGCCAGTACTTTGTGTTTTGAGTGCTTCTTGATTCTCAGATTCAAAACCTTCCTTCTTTCTAGTTATTAGTGTAGGTGATCCTCACATCTATGATCACCTAGCCTCATTAATTAAACCAAACCTCCACTAATTTCTTATTTCCACAGGCAAGCCTTTCACAAATGGCTCATTTTTTTAATGTTGACCCATGTTTGACAAACTGTTTTGCAGACATGGTATCTCATTTGCTATTGAGAAAATATCTGGAATCAGCTTGTGAACAAGTGACAGAAGACAAATCAAACCCCCATCTTTTGTCTTAAGTCCAGGACCCTGTCCAGCACCAACAACTCCCCATGTCAGACATCCCCCAGCCATGTGTGGCCATTTTTTTCCACCAGTTAATCATGGATGTTAAAAAATTTTTTTTGGCCAGTTAATCATGGATGTTAAAAATTTCAAATCCACCATCTGTGTAACACTGAAAGACAGTTCATCTCTTTAGCCACTACAAGAATAGGTTCTGAACATGGGCGATGGAAGCTTATCAGTTAAGAGAGAAGGAAAGGGGAGTCATTTAGGAAATGACACAGTGAGGAAAACAGTGCTTATGCCTAATTGTGACAAACCATTTACACCAAAACGTGAGGAGGTGTAGTCTGAGGGTGAAGAGCATGAGCTTCTGAGTGATTCAGCTTGGGGTTTCAAATCCTGATTTCTATTCACTTCCTTAGTGACCTTGAGCAAATCACTTCACACTAAGCCTCAGGCATCTGAAAACAACACATGCCTTGTGATCCCTCATCATGATTTGTGAGGTGCTTAGCACAAGCTTGACATGTAGTAAATTTTCACTAATATTTGTTATTTTGTTAACTTTACTGGTTCCCTCAAATCATTCAATGCCTAACAAATAATCCTTCCATAAGATCTAACAAAATCATGAGATTAGTCTGACAACTTGGCAGTGAAGGATATGATACTTTAAGCTTGTGAGTTAATTGATTTTGAGTCATAGCAGATAAGGGAAGGTGATACTGGGATTGATGATGATCAAGAGTTTCCGCTGAGTGTTCACAATACGCTTGTCTCTCTTCTGAATGTCTTTTTCTATTTTTTGTTTTGTTTTTATTTATTTCTGAGAGAGAGAGAGAGAGAAAGCAAGCAGGGGAGAGTCAGAGAGAGAGGGAGACACAGAATCTGAAGCAGGCTCCAGGCTCTGAGCTAGCTGTCAGCACAGAACCCGATGCGGGGCTTGAACCCACAAACTGTGAGATCATGACTGAGCGGAAGTCAGGCACTTAACCGACTGAGCCACCCAAGCACCCCCTGAATGTCTTAAATGCATTTCTCACTAAATCTTCATAAGCATGTGCATATTTGTGTCTAATATCATACATGGTGAATTTGAGGTATAAAGATGTTTAGCAATTTGTAATAAAATTGTAAGCATTTTTTAAGACTTACTATCTTAGCAAGTTTTGAATATGAAATGCAGCATTATTGCCTATAAATGATGTACATGACATCATTTAATTGTTAATGTAAGTACAGCATTTATATCTTTTGAGTTGATATATTAATATGGAATAAAATATTTAATGGATGAAAATTTCAATGTATGGATTATTCAAAAAGTTTGAAAGAATATACTGCCTCCAAAGAAATTATCTTAAGGGTGCCTGGCTGGGTCAGTTGGAAGAGCATGTGACTATTGATGTGAGGGTCATGAGTTCGAGGCCCATGTGGGATGTAGAGATTACTTAAATAATACTTAAAAATAAAGAAATTATTTTAGGGGTGCCTGGGTGGCTCAGTCAGTTAAGCGTCCGATTTCAGCTCAGGTCATGATCTCAGGGTTTGAGAGTTTGAACCCTGCATCAGCCTCTGTACTGACAGCTCAGAGCATGGACCCTCTTCAGATTCTGTCCTCCTCTCTCTCTGCCCCTCCCTGGTGCATGCTCTCTCTCTCTCTCAAAAATAAATAAACATTAAAAATTTTTAAAGAAATTATTTTAAACATTTTGGTGATATAAGTATGGTCACTATAGAGATTTTTATCATAACAAGGAATATATAAGTAACCAATATCTCAAAATTTTTGAAAATCCCTATATGGTTTGTCCATTAAAAAGGTATGGGAAAATATGAAGACTCTAAAAAATTGTTTGAAAACACTTTATACAAGATCTCTCATTGCAGAGATTTTTGTAGTAGCAATAAATGGAGACCACTTTGTGATCCATAACTGGATATGACTAGGGAAAAATATATATGAAATTATATATGTTAATATATTATATAATTTCATATAATTTATATATTAAAATTAATATATTTCTCATAGATAGTTTTGCATACTCATATGAAAGGTGAATTATAGTGGGTAAACAAAAAATTGTTGAAGGCTCAACAATTCAACAATCCTGTACAAATGGATTCTCATCCTGTACAAATATGATTTAGAACAGAGAGTTAAAGAAAGGAAAAACAATTTACAAAAAGAGGGGAAACGTACACTGGTGATGATAGCATAGCATAAACTAAGGAGGATGAACCCCTCATCCTATGACCAGAGGAGAAAGAGCCCACTTATTGAAACAGGTTCAACATTCCCATTAGATTTTTCCTGTTGTTTATTTTGGCAAGCGCCCCCCGCCTTTCTTTTTCCAAAAACAATGCATAGATGAACTTTACAATGCCACCACTGGGTTTCCTTTGAGAGGAAATGAGTGTCCTCTGACCTGCATAACAAAAATACCTCCATTCCATCCCCTATTCATCTCCATCCCTTATGCACTACTTTATATATTGTTTGTTGATGCTCTGTCTCCCCAACTAAACACGAGCTGCACAATGGCAAGAATTTGCCTGTTTCTACTACTAAATCCCCAGCAAGAGAACAGGATTTTCACAATATGAGAACTAATGAACTGGAATCAGCAAGGTCCATCTCTGATGGCTTCTAAAGATAAACTCCTTCTGTCCTTCCAGCCTTCAATATAAAACCCTTATGATGCCCATGGATTTTGGGAAGGGAGGACCACATCAAGGAATATGAGACTGACAAGCTATCTCTATAGAACAATTAATTGCAACCAAACAGAGAAAAAACAAGACTTGCTGGGTTCTGAGGATTTGGGTTCGGAAGTATGATAAATAACAAAACATCTTGTGTATGACTAGACCCAAATCAATGGAAAGAGTCAACCAAAGTAGCAGTGTTTCTGAGTTCATCCTCCTGGGACTCTCCTCCAGGCCTGAGGACCAGAAGCCACTCTTTATCCTCTTCCTCACCATGTACCTGGTCACCATAACAGGGAACCTACTCATCATCCTCGCCATCCACTCTGACCCCCAGCTCCAGACCCCCATGTATTTCTTCTTGAGTTTCCTGTCCTTCACTGACATTTGCTTTACAACCACCATTGTCCCCAGGATGCTAGTGAGCTTCCTGTCAGAGAAGACCATCTCCTATGCTGGGTGTCTGACACAGATGTATTTTATTTATGCTCTGGGCAACACTGACAGCTGCCTCCTGGCAGTCATGGCCTTTGACCGCTATGTGGCCATCTGTGACCCCTTCCACTATGTCACCACCATGAACCACCGTCGCTGTGTTCTGCTGGTGGCCTTTTCCTGCTCACTTCCTCACCTCCACTCACTTCTACACACCATGTTACTGAATAGTCTCACCTTCTGTGACTCCAATGTTATCCATCACTTCCTCTGTGACATCAACCCTATGATGAAATTGTCCTGCTCCTCCATATTTGTCAATGAAATCGTGATAATGTCAGAAAGTTCAGTTGTTTTGGTGACACCATTTCTGTGCATTACTTTCTCTTATATACGAATCCTCATAACAGTTCTCAAGATCCCCTCGGCTGCTGGGAAACGCAAAGCCTTCTCCACCTGTGGCTCTCATCTCACTGTGGTAACACTCTTTTATGGAAGCATCTTCTATGTCTATTTACAGCCCCTGTCAAACTACACAGAAAAAGAACAAATAGCAACAATTGTCTACACAGTTCTTTCCTCCATGCTAAACCCTTTTATCTACAGCCTGAGAAACAAAGACCTGAAACAGGGCCTGAGGAAGCTGATGGGCAGGAGGAAATTCCAGGCAGCATCCTCTTGACAAACAAGTGAAATCTGCTTCGCTTGAATCTGATATCTACTAAATCCTGCTGAACAATTGAACTGTTGGAGATTAGCTTTTTTAACCCATGTGAGACAAAGCTATTATCGGTACTCACATGCATGATGACAGCACACAAATCGTCCCCTCTTCTGCTTAAATGATGGTACTCTACCTCACTATTCTTCCGTTTTCCCAGAAAGACTCATCACCTCATCCTCCAAATACTGCTTTAAACTAATTCTCTTCCCACAAATATTTCCTAAACAAATTGCTCTCCTTTTATTAAGACTTACCCTCCAAACCCCTTCACATTACAGCATATTGCTGGAAATGATTCTTGTATTTATAGCTTCTGAATGTCTTTGCAAACATTTCAAGGGGGAAAGAATGGAGGGAGATAGGGAAGGGAAGGAGGAGAATTACATTTTAGCATATTTTCTCATTATGCGGATTTTTATAATTCCCAATTTTTCTTGGTTAAAAAACTTTTTCTTCATTCATATGTGTCACGGATGTCAGTTGTATCCATTTCTTTGCATATGCAACCATCAGCCATTGAGACCATTATGATTCAGGAATTGGCTCAAAGTCTACCAAAATCTTGGCTTCCAGTTTTCACATATCTACCTCTCTGTACCTCCTCTTTTCCAGGAAAGCACATCTTTTTTTATTCCCTCCAAGTGCTATTGAAACCTCTGTTTTCCACAAAAATTCCTGGAACTAATTCATATGGGTTTGATGACTTTGATTCCCTTTGTATCCTTCTTACTTTAATGAATTTCTGTAATCAGTTTTGCTAGGTGTTTGAAAGTCATTACAGTAATTTAGGAAGAGAAACAGAGATATACAGAGATAGATTGAAAGTTTCATAAATTTGAAACTTCCACTAAAACAAAGAATGTGTCTGTCCCATCAGTTTATGCACAGATTTTACCTCCTTTCTTCTCTGTCATCGACAGCAGGATATTCCAGGATATTCTGGGTTCTGTAGAGAACACAGGCCCAACTCTTAGCCCTGATTAGCTAAGTGACTTAGTAGTTCAGCACACAACTGAACCAATGATCAGGCCAGCATGCAGGGGGTGGAGATGCCTCTGGATCTTTACCCTGGTCATCTGGTGTCTGTCCCTTACAGGCACTCACTCTCCTTGACCCTTCTCTTAGCTTCAAGCCCCCTTAGAGATCCCTCTATTTCTACCATCATTACCACTCTGAAATCTATCTGGTTCTCAAGGAAAAATTTGTGTATGTACTGAGAATTATTCTCCATATCTTTTGAAGAGAGGGTGAAAACTCATATGTGAATGTTGAAGGCAGATATAATGAGGAGCTTCCAGAACCAAATATGGAGACTCAGGGATGTAGAATCATCCAGTGCCACAGGCAAGGACTTGATTCTGTTCACTTTTGTTTTCATTCTTTATTCTCTATTTTCTTTCAGGGATTTTAGACTCTGTAATAATTTGTATCTTGATATTTTTGCCACTTACTATTCTATATCATTTCCAAAGATATTACTAAGCATGTCCTACATGGGGGGCTATGAACCTGAATTTTAATAACCACCCCATAGAGAAAACTTGGCCTTATGTATGCAGCTGAATGTTTGAAAATTTCTCATCTTTCATTGTCTCAGTATTTGCGTTTCTAAGACCCATGCCCTATAGTAATAGTATATCAAGTTATCAAGCCTCATGTACACAGACACTCATTGATTACAGCATTATTTGTAATAGTGAAAAATTAGAAACACCTAAATACTCATCAACAGGAGAATAGACAAATAATGGTTCAATTTTTCCATAGAAAGAAATAACATATAGTAGTTATTTAAAATGAGGTATATTTCTACCACTGCCCTTAAAAGCCATTATGAATGAAGAGCAAGTTGCAAAATAAAATGCTTAAGAATAAACCCATTTTGGGGCGCCTGGGTGGCTTAGTCGGTTGGGCGTCCGACTTTCGCTTAGGTCATGTACTCGGGGTTCGTGGGTTCGAGCCCCGCGTCGGGCTCTGTGCTGACTGCCAGCTCAGAGCCTGGAGCCTGTTTCAGTCTGTGACTCCCTCTCTCTCTGACCCTCCCCTGCTCACGCTGTCTCTCTCTCTCTTCTAGAAATAAATAAAAAAAAAAAAAAAGAATAAACCCATTTTGGGGCTCCTGGGTGACACGGTTGGTTAAGCATACAATTTCAGTTCAGGTCATGATCACACAGTCTGTGAATTTGAGCCTTGCATCAAGCTCTGTGCTGACAGCTCTGAGCCTGGAGCCTGTATCGAATTCTGTGTCTCTTTCTCTCTGCCCCTCCCCAGCTTGTGCTCTCTCTCTCTCTCAAAAATAAATAAGTAAACATTTAAAAAGAATAAACCCATTAAAAAAAAAGAATAAGTCTGATAATAAATAAGATGGTTAACCATATGTCTGTATTTTAAATGTGTATGCGTATATGATGAATAAGTGAGATTGTATATTCAGTAAGAAAATCTCCATTGAAAATTGTTAATTCCTGCTTCGGATTCTGTGTCTCCTTCTCTCTCTGCTCCACCCCTGCTTGTGCTCTCTCTCTCAAAAATAAATGAACATTAAAAAAAATTTTTTTAAGGGCACCTAGGTGGCTCAGTTAAGTGTCCAACTTCAGCTCGGGTCATGATCTCATGGCTCATGAGTTCAAGCCATGCATCAGGCTCTGTGTTGACAGCTCAGAGCCTGGAGCCTCCTTTGGATTCTGTGTCTCCTTTTCTCTCTGCTCCTCCCCTGTTCATTCTCATTCTCTCTCTCTCAAAAATAAATAAACATTAAAAATTTTAAAGAACATTGTTAATTCTAGGAGAGGACATGGAACAGGAAAGAAAGAGATAATGTCTGCTTTTAGTTTGTATATATCTATAATATTGGAAGTTGTTAAAATGACACATATTTTTTGTTGATTAAAACTACTAATCACTAAGGAAAATATAACATAATCTAGGGGCGCCTGGGTGGCTTAGTCGGTTAAGCGTCCGACTTTCGCTGAGGTCATGATCTCACGTTCATGGGTTCGAGCCCCGCATCGGGCTCTGTGCTGACTGCCAGCTCGGAGCCTGGAGCCTGATTCAGTCTGTGACTCCCTGTCTCTCTGACCCTCCCCTGCTCACGCTGTCTCTCTCTCTCTCTCTCTCCTAGAAATAATAAATTAAAAAAAAATTAAAAAATATATATATAACATAATCTATTGCTCTGTTGTTCATATTATTTACTTTTGTTTAAACAGAAATAATATCATGCCATGGTAGGAAAAGGTTGATATGAAGGAGGTCAGGTCACCCTCCATTCAATGTCCTAATTCTAATGTTGGAGAAGCAGATAAAGGGGAACACTCCATGTGTCCCCATCTTACCTCCACACAACCATAATTGTCTTTTATTACTGCAACCATAGATGTCTTTTATTTCTATCAACACTCTGGCCTTGGAAGAGAAAATTCTGGTCATTTTTCTTCAAGAATGGACATAGCCATAGACCTTTGGCCATGTCCCTTTGTCCCTTGAGTAAGTCCCTTGAGTGAAGTCCAATGATTTGCATTTCTAACAAGTCCCCAGGAAATGCTGATGTGTGGATTTAGAAACAATACTTTGAGAATCACTAGGCTACCAGTTATCAAGACTCCCTATAGACCTATGGTAACTAAAAGTTTTATCTTTTTAAAATGTTTTTATTTATGTTAGTTAACAAATAGTGTTATATTTGTATCAGGTGTACAATACAGTGATTCAGCAATTCCATACATCACCCAGTGTTCATCATGACAAGTACACCCCATCACCTATTTAACCCATTCCCACCCCCACCCACCACCCCTGGTAACCATCAGTTTATTCTCTATACTTAAGAGTGTGTTTCTTGGTTTGTCTCTTTTTATTTCCCTTTGCTCATTTGTTTTGTTTCTCAAATTTCATATAAAATCATATGGTATTTGTCTTTCTCTGATTTATTTCACTTAGCATTACACTGTCTAGCTCCATCCATATTGCCTCAAAGGGGAAGATTTCATTCTTTTTATGGCTGAATAATATTCCATTGTACATACATACCACATTTTCTTCATCCATTCATCAATCAATGGACACTTGGGCTGCTTCCATATCTTGGCTATTATAAATAACGCTGCTATAAACATAGGGATGCATGTATCTCTTTGAATTAATGTTCTTATATTTTTTTATTACAAATAGTTTATTGTCAAATTAGTTTCCACATAACACCCAGTGCTCATCCCCACAAGTGCCTCCTCCATGCCCATCCCCCCTCCCCCCCACATCCATCAGTCCTCAGTTTTTGTCAGCATTCATGAGTCTCTCATGGTTTGTCTCTCTCCCTTTCCCCCACCATTTCCCCCCTTCTTCTCCCCCTTGTTCCTCATTAAGTTCCTCCTAATCCTAGTATATGGATATTTCTGAAAGTCAGGACAAACAAGACAAATGCCATAGATTGAAAGCCCAGAAACATATCCATAGATTAGCGTATACTTGATTTATAAATGAGGCACGGGAGAGCATATTTTCATAAATGGAGCTAAGATAGTTAGAAATTCACACAGAAAAATGAAATTAGATCCCTATTATACAACATATGCAAAAACTAAACATAAATGTCAATGGAATTCAAAACTTAAATATAAAATTAAAACTATACCTTTACATACAAGAATTAGGAGAATATCTCTGTCTCCTTGAAGTAGAAAAATATTTCTTTTTTTAAATGTTTATTTACATTTGAGAGAGAGAGAGAGAGGGAGAGAGAGAGAGAATGAAAAGGGAAGGGGCAGAGAGAGCAAGGGAGACAGAGCTCAAAGCAGGCTCCCAGATCTGAGCTGTCAGCACAGAGCCTGATGCAGGGCTCAAACCCACAAACTGCAAGATCATGACCTGAGCTGTCAGCACAGAGCCCGATGCAGGGCTCAAACCCACAAACTGCAAGATCATGACCTGAGCTGAAGTTGGATGCTTAACTGACTGAGCCA